TCGTGAATTTTTATGTTCTGGCGGTTAGACATTAGATTCAACGTTTTAACACCGCGGATACTAATTTGGGACTCTGAAATAATTCAAGGTTCAACGTACGGGAACAACAGATTGTTGAGTCATACATTGAGTCTGTAGTTTGTAAATGGGGCTTCAAAATGTTCATATTCTTGTAGAACATGGAAATATGTAAGTAGGCTACGTAATGGCACTGCAAAATGCAATGCTATTAGACCTTTAACCTATTGAAATTGTTTTTTATTACCGCGATTCACAAATGGACGCTGTTGAATAACTTATTTTTAATGAAGATATAATAATACCCTGAAGATGATAATCGTCTACAAGGCTACACGCTGCCATCACCCATAAGTTTAATCTTTGAAGAATGAGAGGTTTGAAAGATGAGATTAGTATTAAAATAATTAAGTAGCTTGAAGTCATTTAAACAGCCTTATATTTTGTGTGATCGTACTGAATATTCGAGTTTCATAAGAGTTGTGAGATTTACTGAATAGTTGTGAAATTATTAGCTTCTCAAAAATGATTATGCTTCGTAGAGTTAAATATTTAGCTTAGATTGAAAGGAGTGTGAATAACATGCCTGTGGGTTCCTTGTTGAGACAAGTGACAGAATTTTATGGACGGAATATCAGTTCATCGCTAGGTGTGTGGTTTTCTAGGACAGCCAAAGAATGTGGATATCCACTCCCACAGCCAGCCGGGTTTGAACGCGCGTTGCCAAGGTTTAACAGCACTCATGCGTGGCGCTTATGATGCCTGCGTCCCTTTTAAAATACGTTATCTGAGTAAAATTATTGATTACTAGGTTTTTAATTGCACTGTTTCAACGACAGAACTTATACGTATCATAGAATATGCAAAGATGAAATAAGTGCTGATTGTGTAAGGATTTGGAAGGTAACGCCTGTGACCGATTTCAAGATAATAATCCTGGCATTGAGGAATGCCACGAAAATCTTAACCAGAATGGGCAGTAATCCTGTCGGTATTCGAACCGGTTATACTCTGAGTACAAGCCCAGAACGTTACCGTTACGTTAATCTACTCGCTAAGCCTACTGTCTATATAGAAGTAACTTTCATACTTAATTGTACGTATGCTTAATGAAGCATGAGGAAACGTACTAATGTCGTGGTGCTTAATTAAGCACAGTTTTGTAGGCTTAAGTAATCTGTCGTTTGTTGAATACTATCGAGAATTTTTAACGTTTTGATCGTAATGAGCTACGATAAAATTTGGCTTACAGATATCTAGAACAATGGTTTTTAACGTTCTTGAATCTCAACTTAAATAGAAATCAAGTCCTTGTTGTTTTTTGTCCGTCTTGTAGGCTATATAAGCCTACATGTATTTGTTTACTATTTTATTAATTTTTAAAGTAAGTACAAGGCAAATACAAATCTATTTATGTGCCCGCGAACAGAGGCCTACCTCTTGAGAAGCACTTCACTTCTTCGAAATGTAACCTATTGCCGTAAATTTTGTGTAGGGACCCGGACATACTTTTAAATAAGCCTAGCTGCTTTGAATGTTTTAAAATTATCTTTTTTAGGGGGGGGGGGGAAACGACGACTCATCATAGTCACAGTGAATGCCAACCATCAGGCTTAAACTTAACTCACTTCATTTCACATGTCGAAAACTGTTTCTGCAAGGTCAATTTTAGTATTAGGCTTATCCTTTCATCTCTGTCTCCATGTCCAATAGACGATAGACATAGCTAGCATTAAGCCCATATAACCGCGCAGAACAATGACATGTGAGAAGAAGATAAACCGATAATGTAACGTAAGAATAATAATAACAACAGTAAGTTGCCTTCGTATCTAAGCACCACTCCACGAAGGCGTGAAACGGCACGGCCTCGGAGTCCATTTAGCCGCGTTAGCTGGAGAAGAAATCCTCATCCTGCCTGGAATCGAATACCAGTCATGGTGATAACAAAAATTATAATAGTAGCAAATTCCCCAGTTGTCACTGAGACCCTTACGCCTGGCTTTCTACTGAGACGCCCGCTTCCGCGGGTTGAGAAGCAGCGCTCTAGAGTGAGGTACTTCCTGGATCCTACGTAGTAGGAAGGTGACTGGCTTTGAAAGTTCGTGTTAGATCTGCTTGATACCCCACACAGTGAGATTATTCTTTTTTTTCGAAATACTGAATGCCTAACCGTTGACAGTGGTCGGTTATCTCTTACCTTTGTGGGGAACGTCGTCTGAGGAAAGACTCATCGAGTGGTGAGCCGTGGGGGGCCATGGCGCCGTGGCCGAGCCCAGCTGGTGATGCCCCTGTGCCGGCAGAATGGTGGCGGCGGATAGGGGGTGGCTACCCTGGAGCATAAACTGCACCGTCTCCACCCCCCTGTCTCGCCAAGCTGGACAGTCTGCTCCCACACCAACCAAGGATCTAGAAAATTGAAGCAGAACTTTCTTAGAAGATTTTGAAATTTTTATCTAGAAAATTAAGTTGATCGGGAGGGATCTGGTGTAAAGTACCGCTGTGTTAGATAAACGAAATGTGACAACACTGTGACGACCGCCACGTTGACGCTTGGATTAAGTAACATTGAAATCCAGTACTGTACTGCTTTCCCAGGTCAGCTTTTTTCTTTGTTAGTGGAGGTCAGTGGCGTGTCTTTTCACAAGTAATTTCTGTGCATTAAGTGGTCATACAAAATGTCCAGGTGCAGAAATAATATGTTTGTTTGTGAATTTTGCAAATGGAGCGTTGATACAATGTGTCTACCATTTTAAAGTGACAATGAGTTTCGTAGACAGACAATAAAGTGTTTTCTTTCAGACGTACGGCATTTCGCAATGGATGAAAGATATTTCAAACAAAAAATGTGAAATTTTGAATCACATTGTGAACGTGTGGTTTGGGTTACACACATTTTCTATCACTTCTCACAAAGAAATGCTTACTTTGTGCAATGTACATATATGCCATCTTTATTTAGAGTTATAGTCCTGTTTCTTAATTCTAGAAACTGGAAGTGCTTTCAAATTGTATATGTCGCATTAATGACCATTTTCGCCCCTGCTGCTTAGGATAGTTAAGAGAGTAATTTTTTATTCATTGTTGAAACACGACTTGGAGAAACTGAAGATAAACATATTCTCTTCTACTCTGTTTATAAGGAAATCCAATAATTGGAAACCAACTGGGGTAGTTAATGATTAATATTTCTTTAAAGGTATTAGTCTACAAGTTAATTCCAAACACAGACCTTGTCTGTGAAATGACACACAGCTTCCTACAGATTCCGAACGTTGGGAGATCTTATTGTTGATGTTACAGCATGACTGGAACAGCGTCAGACAAAATCAATAACGCAATCCGTTTACGGAAAGCAAAAAAGAATGTTTAGTTGTTTTATAAATGTCTTTAGAACGGTCTCGGGTTTCATTATTTCGCCTCAATAAAATAATTTCATTATTTTTGCAGGCTTGAGTTTATAAGAGAAATGCTGGTGTTGAATGTCCTCTTTCTGGAGTTACGTTTATAATAACTGAGAGGGCTATTTAAAGACGTAGCCCTGTGGAACTAAAAATTTCATTACCGTGTCAACAAGATCCTGTATCTGGACCTTATCCTGAGTTAGATGAATAAAGTCCACCCCCTCACACGCTTATGGTATTGGGAAATGTAATTTTCCGAGTACATCATTAAGCCATTGAGTCTGAGGAAGATTCATTTATGGGGATTAGGCAGTGTACAGGGTTCAGCTAGTAGCAGCATTATACTTAGCAAGCCCCTGTATGGATGAACAATACGCACCCTGACTTGCCCTCACATTACGCGCCCGCTTCACTTAATTCTTGCACATCGGCAGTGTGACTTGGAGGTCATTAATTAGTAGCTGGATTCAAATGGAAGTATCGCTGTTGTCGTATCAGTAGTAATTAAATCCTTAAAACGAACAGTGTGCTTCATGCCTTTAGAAATGCCATTTTTATTCGGCTTTGCTTGAGTACTGGTGCAGTGAATATTGCTCTTAGTTTTTTTTGGTATAAAGATATGTGCCACGTTTTTGGAATTGTTGAACGGAGTTCTTTATTGAACTTAATTATTAGAATTTTCATTTATACTGTTTTATATTGTGAATCGCATCTCTGAAACTACACACGACGTTTTGGTGTTAATTGTTTTAAAAGGTACAGTTATTAAATTCATAGAGAAATGCTAATGGTCATGTTTAGGAAGACTACAGATTGACATGTCCGATCCCTCCTAAAAAAATATTCAGTACGAGAACTAGTCACCTGAAGATTTAATTTAATAATAGTGTTGATTAATCGACAGTCAATCAGACAATTGTAATTATTATGCCCGTATGATCCAGAACAGGCCCTCTATATTTCAACACTCAGTAAATTTATTGACCCATATAAAACAAAAAGGACACTAGAAGAAGACGAAGACATTACGCCTGTTCGACACTGCACGAAAATACTGCCAAAATAAACAGAAATATAAAGAATGTAACTTCATGCACCTTTTTACTATTTACCACTGTTATGTCACATGGTGATAAGACTGGTAAC